GGGGGGGTCATTAGAGGGAATTGTTGGCCTGGATGAACAGGTGAGGTCTTCTGCTCCCCTCTAATGTATAAAACCTGGAACTAAACGCTATTTCTGACATTTTGAATTGAAAAAAGCTTCCTGGATGGAAGAGAAACGTCTTCGAACTTGGAAACAAAGTCCAGTGGATGTTTTTTAACTTTTTGGACGACTATGACCGGGATGACTGAGAATCTACAGCAACTTGTCATTTTTTGTGGTTTAAAATTATAAAGACTCTCATAAACTGATATGATGAAGACGTCTGTGGCTGCTTCACCGTGCCCCTCTCTTCCTCCACCTCTCCTGTAGGTTGCAGAACTACGACGCCACTTGCCGCCTGGCTCAGGAGATAGCAGAGAACATCCATGAGAGGAACCGGCAGCAAAGAACGGGGGGAAACCCTGCAAAGGTGTCATTTCCCTCCTCTTTTCCTCCTGTTGAGCAAAGGGCTCTGATGTTCACCCAGATGCCTTTTTAAAAATCTTTTGCAGGTTAACATGACGTTGCGAGCGTCCCTTCAGAAACTCAAACAGAACATTGCTCAGCTCAAAGAGGGCCTGTTGAGGAGCTCCTCATCTCGGCGCATGTATCCTTTTATTTCCCTGCCTTTTGTCACCAGCTGTAAAAGTCATGAGACTGAGATGACTGTCATCCAGGGTTGGTTCTGCCTGCAGTAACCATGATGTTCCTGTAGAGGGCGGCAGAGCTCCATGAAACAGAACAGTCTCTGCTCTTGATCAGGAGATTCCTTTGAGTCTACAGTGACTGATGATGATGATGATGAAGGAAACTTAACTGCCTCTCCTCAGAATGCAGTCTGAAGCCGACAGGAGGCAGAACCTGATCGACGAGCTGCTGACCAGAGAGAAGCGGCTCAACGCCTCCTTCAAACGAGACGCCGCAGAGCCTGAACCATCCAGGTATTAACATAGAGACGCTGCATATCTGACGAAATGTTCATAGTTAATGAGCAGAAGCATATTTTGATTTTAGGATCATAGCTTCTTCCACTCTCAGATCCATTCCTATTCTATTCAGTTTATTTCTATAGCTCCAATTCACATCATGTCATCTCAGGTCACTTT